TCGTTTTATGAGCTGTATACATAAATACTAGACGAAAAAAAAAGAGCATGCCTGTTATTTCTTCTTTTGAAAAGAAAATTCATTTCGGATAAGATATTCAATTCATTTTTTGTTTAAATGGCTTTTTGTAATAGTTCAATAGCATTATTCAAATCCTAGACTTTCTTTAAGGGTATGAAATTTGACTGTTTCGTCTACATGTTGACATTCAAATTCAAAAATGAGACTCGAGAATTAACTAGAATTGAACACTTTCTACAATTGCTTGGACTAATTTACCCTTTTGCATATGAATCTATCAAGTTATTCATCTTTTATTATTACATATATTTTCAAATAGATAGTAGTTGAATTTCACGAAGGAATGACAATAGACAAGATATCTGACTAAGGTTTTTCTTCGCTCATCATACATTCATAATAGAAGAATGATCCAAATGAAATTTCCAAGAAAAATTAATTACGAATTTTTTTGCAAATTAAGAAAAAGTCTCTCAAAAATTTTAATCATCCTTTCGACTACTCTAGACTATATATGAAATCGAAATTGTTCATTTCAACTAAAGTGACATAGATGTTTTTTCCTGAATTTCTGCTCATTAAACAGACCGATAATCATTGCAAACAACTTATACGAAATCTAAAAGACAATACATCTTCTTTCCAATAGAATTCGTATAATTCTTCAAGTAATCTTTCCTTTATAGTGTGAGTGAAGCATTTAACATTTTAATGTTTAGAACAAATTATCAATCAATTTTGAATTTCTACTTTTATTCCAATTTTCGAAAGATAAAATCTCAAAAAAAAAACAAAAGATAACGCTCTCATACTTCCCTCTCAGTTTTATCAAAAATGATACGCCTCTTTGTGGATGATTAACTATGAATTCTATCAGTGAATTTCAATTGAACATTCACAGTACAATCTGAACGTTAATTATTATAGATTAACCGAAATTCTCTACATTCAAAATCATCTTTGATTCAAGAACTTTTATAAGACATAGAAATTCATTCGCTATAATTCATTTAGAACGGAAACTTAAGTCTGCTTTAAATTTTCATACTTACATATTATAAACATGACAATCTACTTTTAACAAAGATCTGATAGAAAACTTTGCTATGATTGACAAAATTATGTTTGAGTTAAGGTGAAAGTTGTCTTGATTCATGTCGAAAAAAGATAAGAGCAAGTATGAGTCCTTAAACAAACAGTGATTCTAACGTAGTCACCTGATATATCACACATTTTTCTCGTTCTTCAATTTTACTTTGTCATTAAAACGAAGCAAATGTTAGTGTTACTACGCACAATTCTTGTATGGGCATGTAGTGCCTTCCTCTGTTTTATCATTTTTTTTCGGAAATCAACTCAACTCGTTGTCTATCCTGATCGCTATCATGGTATGAATTGTTTTTTTGTTCAATAGAAAAAATATTTGATGTGAAATATCTAGGTCATGATATAACTCGAGGGATTTTCTTCGAAGGATGGTATTACAAATTGGTATTTAACGAAAATTCAAATAAGACAATTGCAATTATACCTGGTGTCTGTATGAATGACGATAATCGACATGCATTTCTTTTAGCTGCTTATGATAATACTTCGCATTATTTTCGATTTCTATTTGAAAACTTTTCTTCAGCATCATCTTCGAATGAATTTCGTATAATGCTTGATCGTGATGGAAAACAGAATATTTTCTCGTCGCAAACAGTAATTGTCGATGTTGAACCGAAAGATGAAGATGATGCAACGGAACGATTAAAACTCAATCTAACCCTAACTTCACATGTACCACTGCCAGATTTATCATGGATAGCGCCTGGTACAATGGGTCCACTCTCATGGATACCTATACTGCAATGTTATCATCATGTGCTTAGCATGCGACATGATATTCATGGATCGATTAAAATTGGAGACTATGAACAGACGAATGTTTCGGGTATGGGTTACACAGAAAAAGATTGGGGAAGTTCATTTCCGGCAGCATGGATATGGGGTCAAACGAATCAGTGGATGAATGCAACGTCGGCTAGCCTTTTCTTTTCATTTGCATCTGTTCCATGGTATTTTGGTCTTGAATTACCCGGATTTCTTATTGTATTCGAATATAATCATCAATTCTATCAATTTAATACATATCTACTATCGATTATTCATGATTTCTCGGTGAATAATTCTAAAAAACATATTTCGTTTACTGTCTATGATATTCTATTTCAATATAAACTTGTGGTTACTATCGATTTAACCGATGCAAACGATGCATTATTGCTCTATGGGCCCCGGCACGGTCGAATGGAAAAGTTTGTTAAAGAATTTCTTAGCGATAGTATTCTTTTTGATGTTCAACTTTCACAATTGATCTATACAAATACAAATGATCAGTTTATTCAAAAAAGTTATCACGAATCTATTCTATTTGAAGCACGCGCTCAACATGTGGCTTTTGAAATGAACGGTGATATAAATAATTTAATTGAAAAATGTCATTTGATATATGATCATTTATATTCATGGTTATTTCCATTCAATCGAACTTTTATCAAACATTTCAAAATGCTCATAATGACATTATTGATAGTCTTGGCAGGTATATTTTATCGAAGATACAAATCAGTAGTCATCAACTAATTTTTTTCTCTCTGATCTAAAGTTTTAAATAAAGAACTAGATTAAGAAAATGATGTAGTAGAATTAACTGTAAAACTTCTCACTATGTAGATTCGTTTAATGTGAGTGTTGGCCTCATAGGGCACAAAGTACTCACACCCACCCTTGGCAAGAATTCGACAGCCTCACACCGGTATCAGACCGGACCGGTCGGTAACCGGTACCGATTTCATCTCTGGTGAACAGAACCAACTATTGGGGTTGCTCAAACAGCAATTATACCAAAACCTATGAATCAGAAAAGAAATTGTTCAAATGATGACTATATATGTTTGACTTACCCCATAGGGCTGAACAAAATAGCTTGATAGCTACGGTTTGTTGTGGTATCATCGATTCGAATTCAAGATAAGATAATTTTAAATGAGAGAACACACTTTTAAAGGATGGAACTGCCTGCATATATTGGTAATGATTCGATATAATTTATGATCATATAGTCATTCGAAAGAATAGACTCAAAAAAGGGATATTACCATGAATAGGAATGCTTCGATCATACATGTTAGAATTAAACCAACTGATATCATTGTTTATTGTACAGATTTGCTTAATATCACTTTTCCTGGATATATTTTCACAATCGAGTAATGGCATAAGTGCTCGATGAATCATTCCATTATTTTCCTTTCAAGGTTAAGACCTGCTTGATCAACTCTTTTACTTTTACTTTTTCGTCCTTCTCAGTATTGTTTTACTACCCAGTGAAGTCTCCTTATTTGCGACGACAGTGAATGCGAAGAATGAAAAAAACCTCGATCATGAGTCGATATAAATCGATCAAAACGGATATAACATCAGCGACAATGTGAAACTTAATACGTTTACGATTAAATAAATTTAACGGTGACATACTAGTATTTTTACGAAAACAAGTCTTCAGTTGAATAACAGCATACATAAATGCTCGAAAAATGCATAGATCTTCAACTCAACTTCTGCTATAGCTTAAATAATTGAAATAATTGATTTAGAGTATCTAGTGATTTGTTTCAGTCAATATTTTATTTTGATTCATCGAAGATTTGCGAGTACTTAATGAATATTCTATCGATTTTATAGTGACATTATTAGGATCTCAAATCATGAAATATCACAAGCGAGAAACAGATAGTGCGTAAATTGAAGCAGATTTGGGGACTGTCAAGTGGACTCAGATAGCGAGTTAACAAACATTTTTTTTTGTCGGACTCAGGAAGAGTATACAACAAGGTAATGGGGAACTATGATAATGTTACGAGTAGTGAATATCTTGAATACTGTCTTGGTCTACTTAAGAAGTGAAATCCAACCCTACATCCACCTATATATCAACACAGAGTCTGTCCTCGCTTGTGACAATAGTCAATATAGTTTTCGAACTACGGTGTAGGTGTGAGCGTAGGTATAGATCCGGGAGAGAAAGACCCACACCCGCACCCACCAGTTTAAGATAGTTGCCGTGGACACTGGCATGAAATTCATCATTCGATCGTAATGTCGTGGTCATAATATTATGACGCTGAAATTGTAGTTCTCAAAAAAGACGTATGTTTCTCATCTCATCACATGACAATGTCTTCGTGGTACACAAAATAAGAAAATATCTCATTCCTACATTTACCTTTGTCAGTGTTCTAATACTTTATTTATTATCACAATACAAAGTGATAGAGAGGAACAGAACTATCTTTTCGTTCGCTATAATGATGAGATTGCCACTACTATTTCTTGGATTTACTGGACCTTCCCAGGTCCAAGAGGGGACATCGGATCCTGTAGGTTCCAAATAATTCCGGCTGGAACCTGTACAAATTTTGCCGGAATCCTAACTAACGGATTCCGACGTCGGATATCGTCGGAATCCGGCAAAATCCGACCGAATCCTGTCTATTCTTGCCGGGTTTTGCCAGATTCCGGCGATATCCGCACCGGAATCCGTTAGTTAGGATTGATTGTCCTGGGTTTTCAAAGTTCCTGAATATTTCTTTTACTTTATCGTATATTATAGAAATATGATTTTCTTTGTAAGATCTATCTAAATGTATTTTGGTCTAAGTCAAAGGGTGTGAGTTTGGGTAGTGCGGGTGGGTGTGCGTGCGCTTTAGGTATGGGTGAGGATCTCCTTTTCTACAACAGCCTTTCACTCAAGACCAGATTTCACCCATACTCACATCGACAGCTTCATTTTACTTTTCAAGGAATACAGAGGTGAATTTATTGACTGATTGTTTATTTGTGTTGTGAGCTACAGTAAATATGGACACAGAAAGAGAAAGGACGAAGACTGCATTCGAAGTTCGTATTTTTCTGTAGATACATGAGATTTTTCTTTAGTAGAATAGAAACTTTTGCACTCGATGATTGGCAAAATCTGATACATATAAATTGAATTGAGTGTCGACAATCACTGAAGAGGGTGAATTGAGTTGGGTGGAAGTGCTACCTCCTACGGCTGTTATTCCAGCAATTGTTGTGCCATTTGATTGACCAGCCAAGAAAAACTGTATGCGATGATTACTCGAATCGGCCACATAAATATTACCCATTGAATCAAGTGTTACGTCCATTGGACTGTTGAGTTGTGTCGATGTGCTACCAGCCGATCCAGTAATACCAGCGACAAGTGTCCAACTAGTAGCTCCCAATACCCAACGAACAATATTATGGGCGCCATAATTGGCAATGAGAAGACTGTTGGATGATGAATCAAAACAGAGACCAATAGGATTCATTAACTGTGTGCTGCTCGTGCCTGATCCATTGCCACCAGCAATCACAGTGCCATTGGTTGATCCCGGTAAATAACTCATAATACGATGATTTGAATAGTCAGCTATATAACGTGTGCCTGAGCTCAAATCACGTGCAAAGCCGTACGGTAAATTGAGCTGGTTATTCAAAGAACCTGCAGTGCCTGAAAACATATTTATATTATGTTTTCATTTAATATAA